TGGACTATTCTGATGCGATCACCGTTAGATGAAATACGCGCTCGAACTTGTATTATCGATCACCAGTATAACAGCTGGTGTACCCAGGATGCATCTGGAAGTGGACCTTAAAAGTTCCTCTCGTTGTTGTGTTAATTGTTGTTGTTTTTTTAATGGGGAGTGGCATTTAACTTCATTGAATAAGAAATACTGATATTCTTAATGTCTTATTCCCTTTTTAGTCTATCAATAACTGGGTCTGTTTTTGTTTTATTAAAGGCCCACTGCACTACTGGTAGCTACTTGCGCCCTCTATATAACAATGCCTAATCGGTGACCATTGGTCCCCCATGATCCTCTTTTTCTTATGTTAAGTGAGAGCCGAGTTGATGAGATAACCACCTGTCCAGTGACCTTGTAGAGCGATTTAATCCCTCCTGTAAAACTACGGCAGATAAGCTTTAAATCAAACATGCTATAAGCCATATAACAACACATTCTCTGGCTACGATTATACTTTTTAAATATGCTAATTAATGTATAAAGTTTCCTTATTTTAGACAAACAAATTATGTGGCAAAGTAGATGGTTTCTCTCCACCCACTCTCATCGTACCTTAATGATTCCCTTTCTCTCTCTTTCTCTGTCTTTCGTAAATTATCTTCTGCAACAGCAACTAACGGTTTGTTGTCTTGACTGAACAACCTGTTGCAGTTCCTTTCTGTCTCACTTTCAGTCGTAGTTGTTATTACCACTCATTTACATTTACTCGTTATCAACTACAATCAACCATTCCATATTCACTCCATTACTGTCCACATTTCACTTGGATTCTTCACTTTTCCTTTTTGCAGCCTTTGCAGGAGCTTTGAACATTTTTAATGTAGAGACCAGAGAGATCGGAAAATATGTTAATCATTTTATTCAAATTTTCTAACTTGAAAACGGAAAGTGAAACATTGTTTTTCAACATCTTGACATAATTTTTGTTTAAAGACAATGGAATTTAACACTGGAAATTTTGAATTGGGTTGCCCCCCCCCCCCCCCAAAAAAAAAAAAAAAAAAAAAACAGAAGTGGTACCAGGGTTAGTTAGTTAGGAGGCCCATGTCCTTTATAATTTTATTTTTGAGAATAGTTTTCTCTTTTTTTATTAATTTTACAGTGGTATACCGTTAATTCACTGGGAAAACCACCGGCCCCCTTCCCTTACACATCAATACTGCCATTACTTCTAGCAACAGTTATTCTATAATTCAAAACGTTTTCATTTTCTAAATCCTTCTAATATAAACATATAACAAATATAATAGTGTTTACACTTTTGCAACCTGTTACATGGTCCATGTAGAAACAGCACCAGGAAGAGGATAACAAGCCCCCCCCCCTGTTTTACTAAGCTAGGAAGTATCAAAACATGATTCTATTAAAATTAGCAGCATGGATACAAAAGGCAATAATGATTAGCAGTTTTCATATTTAGTGCATTTAGAGGGTTGTCTTTCAAACCTTCTTACATACAATACTTGAAGCAGCAATAATGTAATAATCTACAAAACTTCAAATACAGAAGTCCATAGACTGAGGTAAATGAATTTTAACATGTATTAAAATTAAAATATCATTGATTAATTCAATCTTTGATATAGACTGATAGATCTTTATCACTCAAATTTCAAGGAAATTTCTTTCTGCCCAGCCCTCAGTTTCATCCTATAAGATGGTAGTTGACATTGTTAAAATGTTAATGTTTATTCATTGATGATTAGTTATCTTTAATTATTTGAAAGTTGACAAGATGATAAATTCATTAGCTTTTTTTAAATGTGGTATTCTACAAACATATGATACAAATAATAAATAAATAGTACGTAAATATTCAAGTTTAAACCCATCTCTACTGTCCTCTTTCATTATATGAGGATGGCATCTTTAAGACGTAGTCCCATGTAGATGTCTTCTGCATTCATCGATGAAGTTGTAGGCTAGTTTTCAGAAGAAAGGGCTGTGATGATAACCCAAGTCTGTTGAATGGGAAAATAAAATAAGATACAGTGTATAAGAAAATAAACAACAACTAATAACATACACCCTGATCACCAGCGACAAAAAGAGGAAGGACTAATATTCACTTGGGATTCTAGTGGGCAAACCTAAACTATTTTTCCGACAAGACTAGTTACTGACCACATGTTAGATTATTTCTGATGATCCCATTAAGACAATAGGCCTGATGGAGCTTGGATGAGACAAGTATGAAATAAGAAATACCGGTATATGAACAATGTACTTGTAATGTAAACTGGTGGTCATAATTGAATAATACTCGGTTAAGTATTAGTATATTTGTAAAGCGCTATATAAAAATTAAATATTATTATAAGTATGGGACATAAAAACAACTTGGAACAGAGTATGTACTGGAAATAATGCTATTGAAACATACGTTATGTAGACTTATAATTTATGTATATTGACATTTTATTTTTAATCTAAATCACATTTGTGATATTCAGTCAAATATTCTTTTACAAGTCAATGGACAATGAAAAATATATTTGTCAGATCTATAACTTTCTACATGATATGTGTTCCACAATAGTTTATTTGGGGTACCAGCATGTATATTAGCACACTTGCTCGTATGAAGTGTATAGTAGGCTCGCATCTCTAGATATGATCCTGTCAATATCTGTTATTTGTTCCTCTCCTGAGTTTGTAAACCAGCATGCCTTCATCATCCACTGTAGAGAAGCATCATCCTACATGACAGAAGACAATGTAGGTACTTCAATTTAAAAGTGATAATAATATAGATACACATCAACCATAATACATCCTATAAACAGACGTTCATTAATTTTATTTTGTCTTCATCTGCATTGCTCAAGAAGTAAAAGGACCACTTACAAAAAAAAATTGATGAGGGTTCCTGTGTTTACCCTACATGTATGATCATGTAGTGCTATTAATGTGCATTAGAAATCGTTCTTCTTCACACAGGACCTCCTGTAAATAAGGACAAATTCCCTTCGTAAACAAAGAAAGGAAAGATATCAATATTTGTATGCTAAGTGCAAAACTAGAATAAAATGTACCCTCCACACTATGCTTGCAACATACACTTAGTTCCATTTCCATTTTAGTGAATTAATAGGTGGTCGTTTAATATTTACCTGCATGGGACTTTCAGCTTCATCTTGCAAATATAAGAAATGTTGTAAAGTCTACTCATCAGTTAACTCCTTCCAGCTCTTCATCAGTTTCAATCTGTTGGAACAAAAAGAAAACAAAATCAATATGACAATCAAGGCGTCCCTTTCTCCTTAACAAAATAAAAATAGATGTAGCATAAAAGCTATTTTTCATGTCATGGTTGGCCTTAATTTAAATATGGTGTGGAAATCAACATTCCTATTTAATAGACCACAGTTCAAAGTAAAACTAAATGGAAGATTTAACGTGTGCCTCAAAAAGTGCTTTATATGGCCTATAATTATGAATATAAAGTAGTCTAATATGCTTTTCACACTGGCAATATTTTCCTTAACCCCGTACTATAGGTGGGGTAAAGGGGGGGGGGTCTTAACCCCACCTATAGTACGGGGTTAAGCCTATTCCACTTTCTGTTCACACTGGCTTTTACCAAAGTGGGCTAAAGTTGGCTAACCCCACCTATAGTACGGGGTTAACTAACCCTGCAAAATAGCAGGGCTAACTCCGCAATTGTGGTGCTAACTCCTGCTAACCCCGCAATTGCGGTGCTAAGCAAACGAATGAGAACAGAAACGAAAAATAGTCCGGTACTACGCAATGGAGCGTATCGCAGCTGGCCAGATGCGAAGTATGTCCTATCATAACATACACGATATCCGGGGTTAACGAAATGCAGTGAGAACAGCGGGAATTTTCTTATTCCGGAATAGGTGCTAGTACGGGACTAAAAACAGCGAGTGTGAAAAGCCAAAAAAAATAGTCCAGGGTTAAGGATAGTACGGGGCTAAGCAAAGTACGGGGTTAAGCAAAACCAGTGTGAAAAGAGTATTAGACTCTGTAGAATTGGTTTATTAAAACAAGAAGAGGTACTGGACTACATAAGTAAACATAATTGTGGACTAGAGTAAAGGAGCCCGTAATCGGCCAGCTCCCGTTTTCGGCCGATTGGTTGGATGCAAGGTAAAATCACTCTAAAATACATCGCATAATAGCATAACACATATCCCACACATACCATACCATGCCAGTGTCACTGAAGAACCACATTTGCAATGGAAAATATATCCTAAAATATCACATTTTAGCGATGTAATCGCCGGTCCTGCTACCCAAATCTGAAAAATCGAGTATCTTACGCGTGTCTGTAAGAAATATGGGTACCATAAAATGAGCTTTATTTCAAGTATTTTTCAGATTTAAAGCCCGATTTTGTGCTAGTCGCTAGCTCAAAAGTATGTCATCGCATGTATTAAATCAATGCAGGCGCACACCGCGACGCACACACGATATCTCTGTCTAATTCAGATTCCAACTTCCGATCACCGCTGTGCCTGTCTTCGGCCAGGCGAGCACCAGGGAGCTCCGGCGTGGGATACCTGCTCCGCCCGCTTGTGCTGTACATCAGCGCGGAAACGCACGGCGCGCGCGAGCGCTTCCTATTGACTTTGTACATGCGGCCGTAAACTGAAACGCTCGGCCGATAACGGGCTCCAAAACAGTGAAAATTGAAATGAATATTGTCATGGCAATTCGTGATTTTTTTCTGGGATTCTTTTTTTGTTTAAATAATAATAATATTTGCTTCATGATTTGAACAAGAAATGATAATAAATAGGAAGTAAAGAGTCCTAAAAATAGGATTTTGTCTTAAGTGGCCGAAAACGGGCTCCTTTACTCTAGGGGTCTTCTCTTACACAAACAAAAATAGATTTATCAACATGAACTGCACAATTTGGAGAAGAAAAAAATCTCTAATCTATATTAAAATTAATAATAGGGGTCAAGATCTATAGGTCTAGATCCAGGGCTGCCAACCTTTGGAAAGAGTTTGGAGTGAGACAATGCGAGGGAGCGGAGCGACCAAGCCCGAGGGCGCGAAGCGCCCGAGGGGGGGATGGTGTGGAAGGGGGGTGTCCCCCCTTCCACGGTAGGGAGCTTTTACAATTTTGCAATTGAAATGGTGCAATCTGGTGCATACTTTAACCCTGATTCCACAAATACATAAGGCAGGATTCAAATAGGTTAATTGATTTCATGAAGTACACTGACCTTGAAAAAATACAAACTTCCACATTTGTAAGTGCATTATTCCAAATCAACTTTCTTTATAAGCTTAGCAGTTGAACCTCAACCTATGATTATCTGTAACAAAATGGACAAATCCTCACTCAACAGGAACATGCATACTGAAAATAATAAATAGATATATAATATATAAAAATAATATAAAAATTAATAAATAGATATATAATGAATATATAACAAATACTAAAAATAAATAAATCATTCTTCAAAATAAGTATACCTCTCATCCAGTTAATCTTGAGATAAGGCTGGACTGCTGTTTCCCAAGATGATACTAGAACAAGTGATCATTATGATGTCTGTCCATACTGGGTGTCATTCATTCTTCAAAATAAGTATACCTCTCATCCAGTTAATCTTGAGATAAGGCTGGACTGCTGCTTCCCAAAATGATACTAGAACAAGTGATCATTATGATGTCTGTCCATACTGGGTGTCATTCATTCTTAAAAATAAGTATACCTCTCATCCAGTTAATCTTGAGATAATTTGCATTTCAGGATGACCTTACTCTCTGCTGGTAGCTCAAACTTAAAGCAAGGCTGGGCTGCAGCTTCCCAAGATGATACTAGAACAAGTGATCATTATGATGTCTGTCCATACTGGGTGTCAATTAGCAAAGCCATTTACTTTTTCCTCTCATCCAGTTAGTCTAGTGGGATTTGTTGTAACTGGAGGTTGCGCTCCGCGATGCCCTCAGTACCTCTGCTGGTGGTTCAAACCTGCAACGGGGCTCCGATGCTGCCATCTTGATTGTCATGATGGAGCTGAGCGTTCCATTTAAGTGGAGGGCATTCCTGGTGTCTGTCTTGTTTAGACCGATGGACGAAAAAACCCTCTCAGCATCAGCATTGCTGTGGGGAAGACAGAGCACCAGCTGAGCCACCTTCGCGAGCCTCAAGAACCTCGGCTGCCCAGTTACCTCGTTCTTCAGCGAAGAAAGGTGGACCCAGAGCTTGTCAATTCTAAGAAATTCAGCTTCTGCATCTGTAGAAGTAAACTCCTTCCACTGCCTGGAAGACACCTCATCCATCATCTGATAGTCCGTAAACTCTTCTTGCACCTTGTCCTGATCTTGTGGACTATTAAACGGCAGTAGATGCTGGAACCTAAAATAAAAAAGAAATGAAACGCAAAAAATCTCAGATCTGAAGTAACAATATCACCTCAAGATTCAAATCATAGACTGATTTGATTAAAAATTAAAGACTAAGACAGGCATCTCTGCATTTTTTATATGGCAATATTGACATACCTGTCAATGAAGAAGAGCACATCATCAATTGACGCTTCCATCTTCTGGTGCCAGTCAACGAAGGTAGCATGTTGTAGGACCGGCTCATCAAGGGGGAGACGTGAGAGGGCGTATGAAACTGCCTCACAGAAGAAGCTCCTTACACCACCAAGGAACTTTTTAACCTGCGTTTCACTGATGTCGCCACCTTCCAACAGTCGGTTTAATGTCCCGCGAGTAGTAAACCCAATAGTGAGCTTGCTGTCTGCATTGACAATAAGTAAGCAATGAACTTTTATTTAGCACTATTTGCAATTGAATAATTCCACGCACATTATACAAAATATTTATTTTGTGTTACAATGATCATTTAATTTCAATGTATCTCAGTTAGAATTGCAATGGTCCTTCATTGTGATGAAATAACAGTCATGTTGAGTTTAGAAGGTTAGCCATTTATGTGCATGTTTGTAAGTGTACATCATGACAGAAAACAAGGTACATACCAGGCAGCTGGTTCTCCTCTGCTTTGTACTGGATGTCTGACACTCTGATGTCCTTGATTTTCTCAGGTTTCATGAACTTGCTCATAAGCTTCCGGATGTACAAATGCATCTGTGGATTATAATACAAAATTAATCTCAATATATACAACAACAATAATAATAATAATAATAATATAGTACTTATATTAGCGCATTATATTCATGATCTCTATGCGCTTTACAAATGAATTATTTATTACATAAAAAATTGAACGAATAATACAATATTATTCTACATTATACTAAATATTATGCTACATTATACTATACATTAAATCTATATTGCATTGCATTCTACTTAATATCACGTGAAATTAGATTACATTACATATCATTACATGATGTCTTACTATTGAATTAAACTACATTACGCTACAACAATCATATGAAAAAAGATAAGTCTTGATAGATGTTTTGAAATAATGTGTACTTATAAATCTTTGACTGCCTTCTAAGTTTTTATATGTATTCATGTGAACAAAATTGAGAAAGTTTTAATTTATTGTTTATTTTCAGATAAATTGCAGCCTACACACCTGTTTGTGCAAAAGATGTACGGAGAAGCATTGCCGTTGGAGCAGAAGGTTGAAATCGGTGAATGTTGGCAAAGTTGCCTGGTAAAACATAAGGTGAAGCTCCTGAAATAAGACAAAAGAAAAGTTTTATTAGTTGTATGAGTTTCAGGATTGAATAATAATCTACTATACTTGTAAATTTTCTTTTGAGTATGGCTGTCGGTGGATTTGCTTTCAGGAAAAATATCTATTTGAATCGTATTTTACAACAATCACTTATTTGGTCGTTGAAAGTATATCAAAATATGTCTTTTTAACGTGAGAATAATAATTGTCGATGTCAATGTTTTTTTTTTTTTTAAATATTAAATGAAGGCTTTCATTTTGATTCTATGGTGTTTTATATCACTTCAAATCTTAAATTTATATAATGTGTAAGGTTACCAGTGTCATTTGAACCATCTGTCGACAGGGAGAACGGCTGCTCTCGTAGCTGCTTCACCAGCTGCTGATGGAAATATGGAGCCAGTGCCCCGTTAACAATGCACGTAGTCTTGGTCCGCGCCGATCGGTATCCTGCGGCCGTGGGGGAGTCTGGAAAGCACTCTTTCATAAGTGGGCTCAAGTGATCCGAGAAGGCCAGCGGTACGTTGTGCTCCACCAATGACATGGCCATTTTGATTTCTGCTCTGCGGATCTGGAAAGATAGATATATATATATATATATATATTAGACACTATCAGTGCAATGAGATAAAACTTCTTCAAAGTGCATAACATTTTGGGAAACTGCAATCAACCACTTATCACTTATCACAATAAACCACTATTATTTCATTTATATTTCTGCATATTTATTTTATAAGGCATCAAACCATTTAAAACCAATTGAGTGTGGAAAAATTTGTGCTCTCCATTTGATGGACGCCCCCCCCCCCCAACTGACAAGACTCAAAATTTCTCGGGATTATTAGGATTAATTTATGTCCATGAACAATAATTGATGCAAGAATGAATAAAAATATCATCAATCATATATTATTTGATACTTGCCTTGGTCTCTGCGCTCGACATTTCCTTGATGCTATGTGTGAAAAGAGCTATACTTCGGGTAGTTTTCTGAAGAGTCTCCCTATCTTTGTGCCCCTTACTGCTGATGTGGCGCTTGATGTCACTTAGGCCTTGATGCCTACAGGAACCCTCCTGATTGCAGACATTGCATCTGAAATGACCTGCCGTGGCCCCCATCGTTATAAATGGCCATATAATCGTCCACTCACGTTTGAATGACGATTTGTAGGTGGCCGCACCTTTCCGTTTGGACCCGGTCACCTTGGCCTTCTTGACAGGAACGACCGCCTGAGGCTGAACGTTGATGCCATCATCACCAGAGTCGCTGTCAGTATCTATGTCCATCGGCATCTGCATCATCTCTTCTAGATTCGGGTCTCGCTTACTTGTGACATCCAATGATCTACGTGAAATAAAGTATTCCAGGTATCAGGTATTGTTTAGTCCTTTTTTATTGTCAATTAGTCGTGTTACTTGCTCCCCCCCCCCGCCCCAACTAAAATCTCCCCTCCAGCCCCCCCCCCCCATCTACTATGATCTAGTCTAAGCCGACCTTGATTTAATAAATCAACAAGTTTTTAACCTGCTGAAGGGCCAAGAGAAGGCTATGCTGACCCCTGACTTTAACTCATCATATAAAAGAGAAAACTAAAGGGTCGAGTTTGAGGGCACTTAATAAAAAATTTAGAAGACCAGTGGCAGTGGCGTAATGGGCCAAACAAAAATTGAGGGGCAAAACATGGTGTACTGTATGTGGCAAAATTTCTTTAAAATCCCGAGCGAGCGAGCAAAATTTTTGATCTTTTCAAAATGAAAATTTAATTTTGGGTTAGTCTAGATCTAAGATAGAGTCTAGATCTAAGACTAATCTAACAAAAAGTTAGATGTTGGTATTTTTTATAAAATTCAGAAAATGACTTCTTAATTCTTAATTATCTCACCCTTTTTCCTTTCCTTTTCTTTCTTTTTCCCCCTTTTTTTCCTTTTTTTTTTTTTTATTGGTTTTGGAACTTTTTTGTTGTTTTTTGTGTGGAATGACCCCCAGCCTCCCATCTGTGAAGAAGACCTAACAAATTACGGTCTACCACAAAATTTTCTACTTGTCGGACTAAGCAGACACTTTGTACTACTAGATCCCATCATATTGACTGTAAAACTTAAAAAGCACTAATTAAATTGTCAATTATGCACTAAAATTGAGTTTAAGACACCAATACACGAAATTATAGGCTCTTGAATACGCCCCAACGTCAACACAGATAAATAAAATACTTTAACATCTAACGCAGATCGTAAGACAAGAGTTTAAACTCACCTGTACCGGCTGAAGCCTGACGACTTTATCCGATCGCAAACACTGTGAGCCACCCGGGCCGGCCGGGCGCGCTGCGATATGTACAGCGATGACAGGCCATGGCATCGACACTCGCTTGTTTTAGTGTCGCGCACAAAAACCCTGCGTCATAGTAAAGTGACGACGTCACTCCTCGCACAGGCAGGATAAGCCAATCGCAATTCACTATCTTGTCTTTGCGCGGCAAACCGAAACCAATTTGCATTAATGGTTTAGCTTTGCGCACGTGTGGTTAAAAAAATGTTGAAACTTTCGGCAGGGATATTGAATATCCGATATAATAGACATTTTTTTTTTTTAGTTTCTATTTTCGGGGTTCAGCGTGAGAGATCCTATGATCAGCGTGAGAGCTTGAGAATGGGTTGAATTGCGTGAGACTCACGCAGATTGCGTGAGAGTTGGCAGCCCTGTAGATCTAACTTAGGCCCCTAATGACAACTTGACAAGCACGCTGGGCACACACAAAATCTAAATATTAAATAAGCAAATCCTAGTGTTGTTGTTTTTTGAACATTTTTATTAATAAGTTCCAGGTTTACATGAAATAGGATTTGGAGTTGTTTGATTATCATGAATGTTCACAGATAATTTTGGTCTAAATAAAGTTGACACACACCGCGTACCGATGATGCAACTGCAGCGAACGGATGGCACTGATATGAGCCACGTACGGTAGATCTACATCAGCCTAATTCAGAGTCGACATCTAGACCTAGGCCTACTAAAGATTTTAACAAGAATTAATCCACTTGGATTATCAAAACAATCATGCTTCATAGATTATTTTAAGGTGTAACGTTAAATCTAGATTTAAATTCAATCGATGATTGGTGAATAATACTCATGATGATGATCAAATCTGGAATATAAAACCCGATTAGAAAGTCTGATCTTGATAAAGATGAGCACCAAAATTCCCAGGGGTGGGCCTGCCGAAACCCCGGGGCCCAACTGGAGTATACTAGGGTGAAATGACGGCAAACCGCAGTCAAACTAATTAGATATCTACTTCATGACGATGAAAATCAAAGTGCAATTTCAAGAGCAATATTTTTCTAGTCTTTTCCCAAAAAATCTGTTGAGAACTGTCTCAAAATGTAACGAAATTACCGTAGATCACGAAGACTATTGCAGCTTTTTCAAAATTGATGACTAAATTCACCTAATCTACTCATATTTCAATCAAGTACTCACCCATTCTCAATGAACTAACTCTTCTCAGTTTGTGCGAGTGTAGTATAGCGTCGTGCATAAATCTGCATAATTAAAGTGACGCAATGAGGTCAAATACCGGTTTCTTAAACGATAGTATCGATAAAATACATATTCATGAGGCACTTATCCAATCAAAAAGACGCCTCGGGTGCTTATTTTGTCTTCAAATGATCCAAAAGAGGCGGAGCCTAATCCCATTCGTCTGCAAACTCTGCATGGTTTCCGCGCGTGCTGCTTTCCATAAGTAATTTATATATTTACGTCTTTGGTAGCATATTAGTCAAAGACGTTTAAATATATATATTAGTAATATTATTATTACACGCACGCGCACGCTGAGTCGGCCGGGTAGCGAATTTGCGATTCCCAAACCATTCAGCTATGGGAAACATTTTGAGCAACGTGATTGGTTAAAAAGGTTAAAAAGGTTATAAAGACACGCCCACATCGACGCGAGCCATCTCATCATGGCGGTGCGAATGTGTCTGGGGCCAAGTCCGAGTGAACCATCAAATCTTCAAAATGATTTTCCAAATCTGCATGTAAGTAGATATTTAGACCCTGTATTTAATTATTTTATTATAAAGTCGCCATGATCAGATCCGTGTCTATGACTTTTGGAATGATGTTTGCATGAATGGGCTGCACATAAACAATGGACAGTGGGCCTGTAATGTGCCTGGAGCTAGCTCGCGTGTGAAGTGCATTGTACCCAAATTGTACCTAACAACATAGCGTATGTTTTGTTGAGCCTAGCCTAAGCCATGCATTGTTTGAACATAGACGATAGCACAAGTTAAGTTACATGTAGATTTAGATGATACACACCTTCAGTATCAGAATTCTAAGGCATGTGAGTAGTTTGCAGGCACATACCTGTGCAAAATACAGAGTCTGAATCGTGAGACTACAGTAGGCCATTTCATGTAGATAGACTTCCCTCAGACATGATATATTTCGTAAAGTGTCAAACTAGAGTCTGTGCTTGCAGACTAACATTGTGAGTGTTTGTGTGTCTGTGTCAGCTAGCTGTGAGCGACCCTGAGCGTGCAGTAAATGACGTAATATTTATTTCTTCTCTCGACCAATCACGTTGCTCCTAAAGTCTCCCATAGCTGAATGGTTTGGGAATCGCAAATTCGCCGGGGGCGGTAAACGTGTGTAACGTGTAAGGTTGTTTTTATAAACTCGATGGCGAAAAGTATTAATTGCGATCATCGACTTTGATTGCTTTCGTTTGGATGTTGAAGCTACAGATGAGAAGAAATTCGAGAAACTAGTCGATGAAGTCCATGATGCTTTGACGAAAGTGGGGTTTATGTACCTCGTAAACCATGGAATTCCAGTCGAAAAGGTAATTATTTTTTTTGCAGGTGGTCGAGGTCGTGACACGAAAATGCGGAGCATTCTACGGGAGAGAAGCCGCATGGACAATTGTGTGACTGTGGTATGTCGAGAAGCCTGCTCGTGATGCCTCT